TGCATTCATGAAGTGTTGGCCAAATCTATGAAAACTAAATTTGCACATTTTTAGAATTCAGAATGAATTGGGTCTGCCCCTGTAAACAAACGCTAAAAAGAGAGGGAAAGAAAATAAATCAAGCAAACCAAATCCTTCATGAACGATTTTTTTTTCAGTAAGCCAGGGTAAATAAAGTCAGCCTGTGTCTGTGAGAGAGAGAGAGATGGATTTAATGCGGTCATGGATTTAAGGATTAAAAAATCTCTTTCCTTTGTAGGGAGCTGTCAGGATGGCTAGCACTCAAGACCCTTCATAATCTGAGATAATCCAGCGATAGTGTGTGCATGCAGGGTTGGATTATGCTAATTTCCAAATGAGATGAATATAGTCAGGGTAACCAGAGCTTTTCGGTGCTTAGATGTGGGGATGCATGACGATATCAGAATTATATCAGTATCGGCCATTTTCCAACTTCTCTTTAAATTAAACAGGCTGTTTTTGTTACTGTGCCTTTAAGACTGATGTAGGTAAATGAGCTCTGTTCTGATTGGGTGTCCTGTATTGTGCCTCGTTCAAAAACAAATCCAAGCTGAAACACTGCAACAACTGCTGTAGGCTGAATAGGTGGATATTTGTAGATGTGACATCACAAAAACAGTGAATTTCAGTGCTGCGTTCGACTGGTGTCGGAAACTGTGAAATACTAATTTTTCCACTTGTAAATTGCACCCGAACAGCTAACAGAGTCATGGGAAACTCAAGATGATACACAATGTTACAAACATGGTGTATAAATGGAAAACGCTAAACATGACAGTGAATTGGAGAAATAATATACCGAACATGCTTCTGTGAGTTTGCGCTTATTGTGCATGTTGGGCATATCTTTGAACAAGCAACCAAATGCGATGAACTCATATTTATTAACCATCTGCTATGTACAACCTTCGATGAGCACCTGAACACAGCACAGAGCAGACTGTTTCATGACTGTGGGGTGAATGCTGTGTCTTGAAACTTTATTTAAAGGTGCAGTGTGTAAGATTTAGTGCCATCTAGTGCTGAGGTTGCAGATTGCAGCCAACTGAATACACCTCCCTCACCCCTACCTTTCCAAGCGTGTAGTAGAACCTACGGTGGCTGTCATGTTTTTCGCTTCTTTGACGATGAGGATTCACCCTCCCTTGCTTTTTCTTGTGCTAAATAATAGGCATGATCCTCGATTTGTCAAACACAAAACGGTCAGCCAGCAGCGGAAGCAACCACTGATTCTTCTTCTTTTTATATCTTCCAACTTTTGCTACAGCGCCACCGAATTCAAGCTGCTGCTTCATCATAGAAAGTGAAAGGCACCCTCTAGTGGCAGTGTTTGGCTTGTCCGTTCTGGGCTACTGTAGAAACATGGAGGCGGCAGCCTCTGATGGAAGAGGAGCCGCTACATGTGTAGATATGAAGGGCTCATTCTAAGCTAACAAAAGCAATGATTTGTAGTTACTGGTGATTATACTATACACTAGTGAAAACATAGTTTTGTATACTATATTTCATTTCTGCTAATAACCCCCCTAAATCTTACACGCTGAACCTTTATAACCCTTTGCATTTGTAACCCTACAGAAATAAATGTTGCATTTCTCTGTAATGTTAATCCAAGTGGATCTAGTCCAGGCTTTCCACATTTTACAAATGTTTTTGTATCTGTAGGTGCATTAATCAGTGGAAAATGCTGAATATCATCATCGGCCCACGGTTCCCACATCAGTGCATCTCCTTTTACCTGTTGCCTTTGAAAATAATTGTCTTTCTATGTTGGCTTTTTGCGTGACATATGACGGCACGCAGCCATATCAACACTGTTGTGGTAATAGCATCCACAAAAAATGTAATGATCTAAGGAGAGCTTTATCAAAGTCACGGGAATGCAAGAAACAGTGTCTTTGCTCAAGATGACTTTACATTTTATAATAAGTTAATAATCACAAATCTAGATGAGGGCTGGCTTCCTAGTGGGAAGACCTAGACCCCTTGGGCCAGGGTACACAGCTTCTGTCCTGGAGGGCTGGTGTCCAGCACAGTTTGGTGGTTCATCTACTCAAACACACCCACTAAATCTGACAGTTAAGAGATGAGTGTAATCAGGTGTGTTTGAGCTCATAAATCACCAAACTGTGCTGGACACCAGCCCTCCAGGACCGGAGTTGTGCACCTCTGCCCTAGGCCCACATCAGCACCTTCAACTTTTTCAGTATAATGTTGATTTTGAGATCATTTGAGACCTAAACATCGAGCCGGACCTTCTTTTTGAGCCTTTGTGTGTGACGTTAACATGTAAAGATGGTGTGAAAACTCCTGACCCGACGCCTCTGACTTTTAAATGATTATTTCAGACTTTACAACGCGACTCACAGCAGCACACGCTCACCATATTTTAGCCTGTTATTATTCTCCTCACTCAGTAATGCTGCTTTTTTCACAAAAAATCATATTTAATGCTGCTTAAGTATCCATGAATCCCAGCATCAGATGATGTTTTGTTGATTTTCTGAGTGAAAATAAGTTAACACGTCCTCTACAGAGAACACACTCTGCTTATAATTACTGTTTTTGTACTTAGAACAAGGGTTTGTGATGAAATGCACACAGAAATGGACACAATCATCATTACTGTTGATTTTATATTGTAATGAGAAGTACTTTGTTGGCATGCATGAATAATTTTGTCTTCCATATAGGCATTTAACTGCTTATAACACCTACTACCTGTGTGATATAACCATTACACTCACATTTAGGGCTTGTATAATGAAAGTAGTTGTTTGGTACACAATGCATTTTTATTAGCAACATCTGAGGAACCTTTCAGAGAGAACCTAATGTTTATTCTTACAGTAAAGTGGTTGGATTTGTGTTTGTATGCATGACAAGATAGTTTACAGAATAACTACTGTTTATCATTCACAGTGACAGTAGAATTTCCGTTCCATGTGCCCTTAATTTGCACATTTATAAACGTGTACTGAAACACATGCATTTACACTACTTCATTAAAACCACCTCCTTGTTTCTACACTTAGTACATATACACTACATATAGTTTCACTTTGTCGTTCTACAGTTACAGACTGTAGTCCCTCTGTTTCTCTGCATACTTGCCCCTGTTCTTCACTGGTCAGGACCCCCACAGGACCCTCACAGAGCAGGTATTATTTGGGTGGTGGATCATTCTCAGCACTGTAGTAACACTGACATAATAGTGGTGTGTTAGTGTGTGTTGTGCTGGTACGAGTGGATCAGACACAGCAGTGCTGCTGGAGTTTTTCCACTCTATTAGACACTCCTACCTTGTCAGTCCACCTTGTAGATGTAAAGTCAGAGACGATAGCTCATCTGCTGCTGCACAGTTTGTGTTGGTCGTCCTCTAGTCCTTCATCAGTGGTCACAGGGCGCTGCCCACAGGACGCTGTTGGCTGGATATTTTTGTTTGGTGGACTATTCTCAGTCCAGCAGTGACACTGAGGTGTTTAAAAACTCCAGCAGCACTGCTGTGTCTGATCCACTCGCACCAGCGCAACACACACTAACACAGCGCCACCACGTCAGTGTCACTGCAGTGCTGAGAATGACCCACCACCCAAATAATACCTGCTGTGTGGGGGTCCTGACCACTGAAGAACAGGGTAACAAAGTATGCAGAGATACAGATGGACTACAGTATGTAACTGTAGAACTACAAAGTGCACCTATATGGTTGATAAAATGGACAGTAAGTGTACAAACAAGCAAGTGGTTTAATAAAGTGGCTGGTCGGTGTTTTTCCCCACCATTTTAAACGCACACTTTTCTCTCCCACCCCTCTGCAGCATCATACCGCAGGGCATGCAGAGGACAGAGTGATGTAATATAGCACAAGTCACAGTAACACTAAGAGAAAAGAGGGAGGGAGGATTTGATAGGCTTTAGCAGTACAGACAGAATGAATGTGAGGTGTTACGAGTGGGCTCAGGTATCATTTGGTATTTTTCAGCACTGAAGCCAATAATGCTGGACAGTACAGATAAAATTCAGCATCACAATATTTTTCAAATTTAATGGTATTACAGAATCTGATGATATTTGGGTTTGCATGAATAAAGTTAATGAGCCCATGCTTCCTGAGCACTGCTGCTCTGTATTAAAAGATACTGATAACAAACTATTACAAAATATTACAATAAACAATATGATATTGCTTGTTTTTATTTTTAGCTATTTAATGTTCTCTCAAATTCATTTCATTTGATTTCACTGCAAAAATAGTCTTGTCAAGTGAAATGACCTTAGATCTAGTTGATATATGTATTATTTCTCATTTTGAGATTGTTTTAAGCTTATTATAAGATTATGTAACCTATTTTTACACTTATTTCTTTTTTAAAGTGCGTTTATTAAGCTAAATCATCTCACTGTATGGGCAGATATTACTTGCTGTAAGAAATATGCTTACAGTGTCACATAATGTGACTTACTAAAGTCACTTAAAATGAGTAAAAATGTCTAGAAATAAGTTAAATAATCTTATAATAAGGTCACACAAGCTCAATATGAGAAATATTAGATATATCAACTAGATCTAAGGTCATTTCCTTTGACGTGATACCAGTGTGGACTGTTTTGGTGTGTTTTTTGTTGTCTTCTCTTAAAATTACACCAAAGGGAGCCTTACATAGTGTTGTAACAAATAAGCAGAAAGGAGCCACATGTCTAGATGTGTCCAGAAAGGACTTGCTATTTATTTAGTTTTTATGTATTTTAAGCTATTTTTTAAAAAACAGTACCCAGCAAATGACATACATTGCAGTTTTTCTTATCTATTGATACCTCAGAACTAAAAATCAATACTTTTATGTGGCACGAACACTGGTAGACCAGTGTAGCCAACTGATCACCCAGCACTTAATGATGATACCTTGACGTCGATATAAGGGACCAGTGGAAATTTTATCCTAACAGCGTTATTGTATATGTGTGTATCTCTGCAGGTTGGACAGTAATAATGCCATTTGTGAGAAGCAGACTTTCTCCAGATTGATGGATGTTCTACAGGAGTCGCGATTTGCAGGGCCAGAGCACTGCCCCAGTCCTCCAAACACAACCGACAATGGTACACGGTTCATCCTTACAAAACCCCACTTACACAGAGCCACTGCTCCAAAACCAGTGCTGCACTGCAACTTATGACCTTAAATCTAGTAGATATATGCAATATTTCTCATGTTAAGATTGTTGTAAGCTTATTAATAATAATAATTTGACTTAAAAAAGTACTAAAAATGTCCAGAAAAAAATGTCCCGGCCGGGCGACCAGGGTCGTTTCTGTCTGGAGTTTGCATGTTCTCCCCGTGTCTGCGTGGGTTTCCTCCAGGTACTCCGGTTTCCTCCCACAGTCCAAAAATATGCAGTTAAGCTAATTGGACACGCTAAATTGCCCCTAGGTGTGAGTGTGTGTGTGAATGTGTATGTCTGTCTGTCTGTCTGCCCTGCGATGGACTGGCGACCTGTCCAGGGTGTATCCTGCCTTCCGCCCAATGACAGCTGGGATAGGCTCCAGCACCCCACCGCGACCCAGAAGGATAAGCGGTTTAGATGATGTACGTATGTATGTATGTACGTATGTCCAGAAATACATTAAATAATCTTATAATGAGTTTATAACAATCTCAACATGAGAAATATTGGATAAATCTATTGGATTAAATATCATTTCATTTGCTAAAACACCATTTTTTGCAGTGTGGAAAATACTTGTGAAAATAGTGCTGTGGTGCTGTACTTATGTATTATTTTGAAAGATTTGTACTTAACTGGAGTGTTATTAATATGGAACACTATGGACTATGTTTACTCGATTACATTTCCAAGAAAAAAAACTTACTTTATACTCTTCACATGATCTAGACCAGCGGTCGCAACCCAAATGTTAAGAAGAGCCATTTTGTTCTTTCAATAAAAATCAAACCACCTTGGGAGCCACAACATTTTCTGTCCCTTTTACCATCTTGGCTGTATACATGTCTCAGTATGTGCTGATGTACTATATTATATAAATATAATATAAATGAAAACGCAGACTTACTTTGCTCTGCTTTAAGCTTTAGCTCAGCTATAGCTCAGCTTTTCTCACATCTCTGGCAGGAAACTTTCCCGCAAAGATAGAATAACGTCTCAAAAACCTCAACGTTTGACTTTTTACAAGGCTGAAGTCGCTTCTCATTCGCCAGCTTCTTGTTTGAGTTTTCCTGTTCCACCTTAAATGGTGCAGCAGTTACATTCTGGCGCCACAGGCACCATTTAAAGTGGAACGGGAAAATTCGAACAAGAAGCCGACTGCAGCTTTGCAACTTTTTAGTGTTTGGCAGTTTCTTATTGCAGATTAAACGTATCAGGAAACCAGCTGGGGTGATTATAAAAGTCCATTCGTCACCAAATGATTGATGTCCGTCTTAATTCTTTCTCTTTGCCTTCTTGTTTGTCAGTCTGCGCTGATCTTCAAGGTTAAAGGGTGAATTAACAGTTAAACATTAACTTCAGCATTTAAGACCATTTATTGTTAGAATTTATTTATTGTTCGAACAATCAGCAGAGCTTTATTTTACTACAAAGGAGGATTATTTTATTTTTACCTGCAAATCTAATTCTGCTGTGGAGCCGCAACAGGGCTATCTATAAAAGAGCCGCATGTTGCCAACCCCTGATCTAGACCTTCAAAGGACTTGTTATAAATCTCAAAGACGTTTCACTTTGAATTTTGAGACTTTTCTCTTATTTTCTTGCCAATCAGTCAAGTTCCTTTGCATTTTATTTATTTTTCTTTTTATTACAGTTTTTCTTGATCATTGAAACACATTTATCAAAAGTGGGGTCGACTTAACCTTCATTGTCGCTTTTTTAGCAAAGCAGAAGTGTCCTTTTGCAAAGTGTTAACACGTTCTCACAGCTTTCCCTCATTTTTCATCCACTGTTGCAAAACACTTAAAGCGGATTTCACACAAAAAAAACACAAAAGTTCATTGGATAACTGTAAAAAAAAAGGAAAATGTAGTGACAGCTTCTAGGAAATACTCTCATAGTCATATCTACCTCCAGCCCAACCAAAGGTACTATGACTTGAGTGTTTGTCAAGGCAATTTACTGCACCCTAAAAAAAGATTTCACCTGAGATATGAAGAAATATTTACTTTTTCTTTTTTCTATAATTATTAAGAAAGGTGGGAATAGGAGAAAGTAACATTGATCCAAATGGTGCCAAACAGGAGGAGGGTGACTGTGTGTCAGTAGAGGGAAGCATAATAGATTTTTAAAATGTTACTTACCTATTGAGTTTTTTAAAGAATTGCATGATGAATGCTACTATGTGTTGGCTTAGAATCCGGTTCTTTCACTTTCTGTCATGGACATACCATGAATGATGACTGTCTATAAATGCTTTGTCTGAATCTCAGTATGAAATGAATGGTAATGTCTTCTGTTTGAGCCCCTCTGTCACAGTCTGTCCCTCTCAGGCCGAGGGTTTGGCATCATTTTACAGTTGTCCAATGAACCTTTTCGTTTTTGTGTGAAATCTTCTTATATCCAATAGTTCAACAGACTGGATTTAAAGTGTGGGTTTACTCACTTTTCCCACCTTAAATATGGCCACTGTTTTTTTAAACAGTATGAAAATTCATCAGGTTAATCATTACATTTTAGCTCAGTTCAGTGTGTTCAGTAAACAGACTGTCTGGAACCATTGTGCTTCAGCGTGAAGCAATCAAGGTCACACTGTGTGGACCATCAGAAAAGCAAAAGCAGCAATTCTGTGGCTATTGCCATTTAATAATATAGATCTAGCCTTTTTGAGAACCTTAAAAATATTTTTAAGTACCTTGTGTCCCTGGGTACAAACCCACTTCATTGTTCTGCTTTATGTCATAACTTAACCACATTTTTATAAGGGATGCGCAATGATATCGGAATCATAGGTATCAGCAGGTATTTGCTTAAAGAATTTATCAGACAGGTGCTTAGATTTGACTTACTTTTCAAACTGATATTTGATGATGTTTTTATCATACGTCACAAGAACAGATCAGACTTACAATGCAATCATGTTACTGATGCAGATAAACCTACCATTAGGAGTCTTGCCCAAGGACTCTCAGTGATATAGTATGGTGCGCTTGCACGGGGGGGACCGAACCTCCAGTCTCCTGCATGGGAGGCAACGGTGTAATGTAATGTAGGTAGATCCAGGCCCAATTTCGTCAATAGATATGCATGAAGAATATCAGATATCGATATCCACTCATGATTCCGATATTGGTGCATGCTTAGTTTTTAGGTGGCACTTTGAATTAGATTTTTTTATTTAAATAGGGATGAAGTGTGTAACATAACCTCCCTTGTATTTCCCTGTTTCAGGCTCACTAGATCAGCTCTCTGATGAGTCACATGCTCTGAGGCACCATGGCTCGACTGAGCCTGCTCTTCTAGCTCCACCCGCTCTAGGTTCCTCGAGTCGGACGGCCGAGGTTCCCCTCAGCGTGACGGACCTGCACGATGAATCCGTCTCCAATGCTGCTTCTGTCTCCTCTCTCTCCTCATTCTCATCTCTCTCCTCCCTCTCATCCCTCTCTTCTGTCTCTGGCTCCAAGCCTGTGACTTCCTGGTCTGTGCCTCAGAGCTGCGATAGGCCACCCCTTTCTAGCATGGATTCTGCGGGAGGAGACTGCCTGAGTTGTCTGATTCCCAAGAACCAAACGTGTGAGTCCATGCTTGAATTAACCTCAGAGTTCCAGCCATGCCCTGCCTCCAACATCAGCATGCAGTGCCTTGGTTCTGCCCATAATGCGGGGCGCTATGGTGACCAAGTGCTGTCTGATCAGTTGCTCAGCGGACCCACACATGCAGCTGGAGTTAATGAAAATGCAGAGGGAGGGAAGTCAATGCGAGAGAGCGAGTCAGAAGATGACCCTGCTTCTAGGAGTATATATGAGAGCCTGGGGGAGGAGGCACAGGATTGGAGCTGTCTGGAGTCCCTGATTAGTGAGAGCCGAATGGAACTGTTGGACTTGTGTTCTCGCAGCGAGCTGGCAGTCAATCTGTTCTGTGAGGAAGATGTAGAAAGCTACATGTTCCAGGAGGAGGAGGCGACCCTGGGTTCTGATGTTTGTTCACTCAAAATTCGCTACGAGTCCTACCCGGACGGAACACAAGAACGGACTGAGCCTCCTCTGCAAGATGAATCCCAGCTAGGTTTCTTTCCTGCTCTACCAACAGAGGACTTAAAAGATAAGAGAGATCTATCGAGTGAGGACAAGGCAGACGCTCCAACGACCCCCAACAGCAACTTTCTTTTTGACCTCAGTAATTCACCTGAGGACTCTGGTGAGTTCAGTGATGACAGCTATTGCACTGGCTCGTCTCCCGATGCCTGGCAGGCCCAACGACCCCATGGGCACCTGTCCAGGGAGAACTCCAGTTCCTCCTCCCAGCTTAGTTACCGCCTTCGCGCCAAGAGAAAGGTCCCTTACAGAGAAGATTATCTATATGACGTGGACTCCATAGAGAGCGAGAAGAATGCTGAAAAGCGGGAGAAGCAGTCTGTCGGACCAAAGAAGGAGCGGGACGACGACTGGTGCCCAAAGAAGCGACGCCGATCCTGTCGGAAGGAGCCACCCGTGATCATTAAATACATCATCATCAACCGCTTTAAAGGTGAGAAGCACATGGAGGTAAGGTTAAGTAAAGTGGACCCCTCAGTCATGATGGTGCATCTTAGTCCAGATAGCCTACTACACTACGAAAGACTGGCACCTCTGAAGGGCTACTGGCAGAAGAAGGAAAAGGAACAGCAGGAGCAGAACAAATTAGCAGCTGCAGACAAAACCAAACGCCTCAATGGCTGCAAGCGGCCACCGAGCACTAATCCCAAGCGCAAACAAAGGTGTACAAGTAGACTCAGGATTCAACGGATCCATGCAGTGGAGAGTTCAACCTTCAGCCAAACTGCAGCTGCCTCTTCTAACAATGGACAAGAAGTGAATGAATCAGTAAAAAGCACACAGGAAAGCGCTGCACATGATGCCTTGGAAAAAGTGGAGACAGGCAACATAGTACACCCAGCCAGGGCTAAGAGCAGAACTGAAGAGCGGGAGGAGCGGAGGAAGGAAGGCAAAATAGGAAAGATAAAAAAATTTAAGAGTGAAGCCAGACTAGCCAGGTCTAAAAAGCTGAAAGAAGCACAGAAAGAGCAAAACTCCACTGCCTCTGAGCTTACAGAGTTAAGTTCTTGTTTACCTGAAAACCTTAGTAACTCTTTGGAAAGTAATCTTATCACAAACGAGACCTCGGTTGAAAAATGCACTTTGAGCCCCACTGCCCCTGGAACTAACGGGAATGTGGGACTCCTGCCTGGTGGATATCTTCAGACTCTCCTGGAAGTTTCTGATTCTTCCAGCAATGCCAATGTCACATATTTCCCTACAGACCAGCAGCAGCCAGGGTTGCTACCAGTTGCAGCACCCCTGCAACCGGCTCAGACTTGTGTACTCTCCCCTCCCTCAGAGTCTGAGCTCCCTCATTCGCCTCAGCCTCTCAATCACATTCCACACCACACACAGTATCCTGAAACCAACCACAGTGAACAAACCTACCCAGTCACTTGGCCTTCCCAACCCACAGTTGAGCAGCTTTCATTCTCTCCTGACATCCCAACTCAATCCCCAGTCATGCCACCAGGCTTTCCCAAGCCAGTTCCCGTTTTAGTGGGGGACAGTGCAACAGTGACAGGGTATGGCCAGATACCACTGGGTGCCTGCCGGATGCCTTTTGAAGAACCACTCCTACCAGAGCCCCACTCTGATACTGATTATGGGCTCAGCCCATCAGGGTCACGTGGTGAAAATGGCATGGGACGACTTGTCAGCTTTAACTCCTTGGGATCCCTCTCTGCAGCTTCTAGCAACTACAGTTCCCTTAGCCTGAGAGATGGAGAGAGGGAACGAGAAGAGGAGATAAGTGAGATCAACGACGGCTTCTTGTCACACTGCAGCCCGCGGCTAGTTCTGCAGCAGAGTCTTGAGGAAGTCACTCCCCTCAGAGAGTCCACTGACTTGCTTGACATCTCTAACTTCACCCCTGACAAGTTCCGCCATTCCTCATTGTCGGAGATGTCCCCACCTGACACGCCAAGCCCCTCTCCACAGCTGCTGGGAAACTGTGGGAAAGGAGGAGGTTTTCCAGAGACGGGAGGGTCTAATGTGCGGTGGAACTCCAGTGCTGTCCCACAACTTGAGCAAGACACATCTGGAAACACATACCTCTCACAAACCTTCAATACGGAGGATGAGCAAGAAGGGCTTCAGGGTAGTAAGGGGTCTAAAAAGAAGAATGGAAAGAATGGACAAAGCACCAAAAAGAGCAAAACACCCAGAGCGCCAAAAAGTGAGAGGGTGAAGCTCCCGCGTCAGGGTTCTCGTTCTGCCAAGAAGATCAAGGCATTGCTGGAAGGGAAAGCGGTAAAAAGCGGGGAAGGATTTGAAAGTGGTGCTCCCTCTCCAACTCCCTCGCTAAGCATAATGGGAGCTCAGGGGGAGTGGCCTAATGCTGGAGGCTTGTCAGATGAGGACCAGGGTGAGTTCCAAGAACCGTCAAACATCCTGTCTAATATAGTCTCCGGCATGGCCGAGGTACAGCGCTTCATGCGGGCCTCAGTGGAACCACTTTGGGGACCTTGTTTGTCGCCAGGGCAGCATGCTCTACAAAGCCAGACGCTCAAGATTCTGGGTAGCAGTGTTGACCTGAAGAAACGGGGTGGGACTTCAGGGGCGGGTAGGGGGAGGAAGGGGGAAGGCCGTGGTGGTAAAACTTCACCAAAACTCCTCCCACCTGGTTTCTTCCCTCCTCTCGGTCTGGACTGCCTCCCGTTTCCGCATCGGCCCGCCCACAAAAAGATGTACCGCCACAAAAGCACCGCTAAGTTCGCCCGTGACGAACTTTTAGCGGGTAAAAGGGACATTAAAGGAGTAGCGCTGACTGCCTTGGTAGAAAAACGGAGGTAATATTTTCTCTCTGCAAAGTACCCCTTCTCAGTTTCCTATCCTTGTTTCCTGTTCAAATCCTTCTGAGCCTCTACCACACACCTTTCAGAGCTGCATGGCACTGACTTTACCCACAATCCTTTGCCTGCCCCACAGGAAGGTGGGTACACCCTGCATGACAGCCCTGCTAAGCTACCTAATGACTAACTGGAGTCACTCTATCACGGCTGCATCTATCTGCCATTGCTGCTTTGTTGCATTTCTAAATTGATTTTTTTTATTTGTGATCAGTTCTTTTTTTTAAGAAGAGACAATGCCTTGAAAGCCTTCTTAAAACTTACTTTGGTGTAGTATTAAAATTGTATTTTTTTGTCCTCTGTTCTCCGTTGCAGCTCTAGCAGTCTATGTGTTCAATCTGTGTCCCAACATCATCGTTTAAAACAAGCCCAGCACCCTGCTCTGTCTCTCAGCAAACGGTTGCCTTCAGTTGTTCAGGGGTTGAAGGTTGTTTTAAGTTTTCTGTTACCCTTGTTACTGTGCCAACTATTCAGAATGATGCATTTTGGGAACCCCAGAAGTAGCGTCTGTTTAGGAAAGAACGTCATACTTTTGTATAAGACGCGACTGCGTCTCGAGTCTTAATGTACTTGCTGTCTTTAATATAATGTTTATTTACGATTTAAGGAAGGGGTTTCACTTACCTGTGCCATAGGCCGACTCCCCTCTGCCAGTATCTAAATGCTGTTGTACAGGAACATATGCACTATTTACAAAATAAGATTATATCAAACATGTTTAAATTAATGTGCCAAAATATGAACAATTAAGTGTACAGACATTTTTATCTACATAAATATTTGTTGTTTTTTAATGTGGTGATGGTTGTGGGAGTGTATGTTTGTGAGCCTGGGGTGGGTTGGAAAATAATTTTGGATTTACTGTTGTTACATATGCAGACATCAGTTGTGAAGTCATCTGTACAATCTGGAAAAAGACGTCATTGTTTTCCATTATTTTGTTTGATTTTAACACCTTTAGTGAGCAGAAAAAAGAGAAACTGAGCTGAGCTTGGGGACAGTTAAAGGGGATTTCTGTGTAATTCAATCACTGAGATGTAAACAGTCGTTCAGAGTGGTTTGCTGTGAAATGGTTCAGATTTCTTTACAGTGGTGGTGATAGGAACCAGGGGTCACCATGTCTACAACACAAATGTAGCCATTTTATTTACTATCCAAAACCGCCAGTGAACCTACACGTCTTTTTATATGTAACGTTAATGATGGTAAAATTATGGCAGATCCAAAAAAAATACATTTTCCCTTTTTTTGCCATTCAAAAATAGATTTTGGGCCAGAACTATCGTAAAACAGTGTCAGGCATTGTATTCATAGCCATTTCATGTAATAACTTTCTTGGAAGTACCTTTTAGGGGCATTAAATGATTCGGACGTCTGGTTCCCATCACCACCACTGTGAGCAATTCTGATTCGGTAAGTTCTCCACAATGCTACATTTCACAGCAAATTCCTATAATGACCTTGTTGACACCTTTATGATGAAATGATTCCCAAATTTTGAATACTCAACAGAATTCCCCTTTAACCCTTTCAGGCGTGAGTTTTCTTGCATGCAGTCCTAGAATTCTTCAGTTCTGTTAGCTATTGATAGAGATGAGTGGTCCCATTGATATAAATAGAATTATTAAGCTAATGGGATAAATGATAAGATATGTAGAGAGTGAGACTTGGGCAAAGGACTGGCACAAAAGTAATCAATAATGTACCATAATCGGTATAGAATATAATCATTTTAGACTGATAATCAGATCTTTATTTTATACAAGTCCTATGAGACACTATAATCGTTTCATAAATCTAAAGCGATCAAGAGAGAGCTGTTCTGTTTACTTTCACAAATCACTTCAGCCAATGACAGGACCAAATACTTTTGATAGTCTTTTTTTCCAGTGTATTGCTAGCGATTTGCATGCATATTCAAATTTAGTTGTGAATGCCCTTATTTTTTGCTTTTTCTGACTCTCTAATTGCATTTTTAGTCAGCGTCATGGCTATATGTTTCTCTTGCTATGTTTGAATGTTGTTTAATGTTTACAAAAAATATATTTGCCCCCCCCACACACACATAATAACTTATGGCAGAATTGTTCTGAGTCTCCTTGCTTTATGGCAGGAGCGTTTTTTTTCTTCGCATTTGTGTTGAAGAGGGAACGAGGTGATCTGCTCAGACTCTCCCGAATTACCCTTGTAACGAAATATCAAAAGCAACATTTGCATCAATTACAGAGATCTTTAGCCCCTTTTTATGAATGTATTATGCCTTCATGTTCGAGGTGTTTGTTTCATTATGATTTTTTTCGCATTATGAAACGACATTTTTGCCTTTTTCTCATCACAAAAAAAGAGATCTGTTTGTATCATCTGGAATCTTTGCCAGGTGGGTTATTAATGAACTCTTGATGTAGGGAAAAATTACAACCTGTATATTTTTCATTGTGCCAATTTGTAACATATTTTCTAAGTGTATATTTTTCTTAGAAAGTGCTGTGAGGTCGTTCTTGGTGTGGCTTCTGTTCTTTTTGCCTTCCGGGCGCTGAAAACGGACGCTAACTATCATGGTTTTTTGGTTTTAAAGCCAAAATTGTGAAAGACAAAAAACTATGATAAAGGAGAAAAAGCTGTGGCTCTTTGTTGAGTTTTGTTACTGGACCAATCTTATCGTGAGAGTGTTGTGCTCTAGTAAAATTACTGATTTTAAAAAAAAAAACATGAAAACAGACAGCTAATCAATGACACTGATTTGTGATTTCATTGCTGTTTTATAGACTTTCATGTAAATTATTCTAGTATTTTGTTTTTTGTTGTATCTGTTACAAAGGTTTAAATATTTGTGAACAAGCCTGTATGGTGAAAAATGTAATATTGGTAACTTGCTGAGTTTTGTAATCATGTTTATGGAATAAATATAAATTAAAAAGAGCTTTTGATCACTTGTTTCACCAGAGTCTTGTTTGTTCAGCGATCAAGAGCTTCATGTTGAAGGGGTTGGATGTTATTTGTAATAACATGCTGTATTCAGGAGTGGAGCTTTACACCTCTTAGCCTTATCGGTTTGACTGAATTCACAAAAGATAATTATAAGAAAATCCACTGATGGAGAGGATGAATACAGATGTGATATTTGGCTTCCTAGCAGCAGTGTTAAATGTTTGGCTTCGGTCTGCGTCAGATGGTGGGTCTTCCTGATCTTTAAACAGGAGAACCACACTCTACTGCAGCACGGCTGTAAGAGGTGAGTAGACAGGTTTACAACAGATATAGTGATGGTTCATTTTTTATATTAATTGTGCTTTTCATTTAAATTGTTGAATTATATTGTTATATGTTCATAGTGCATAAGATAATAAAAAGGGAAGTCCACCAATTTTTCAAAATGTCTGCATAATTCAGTGTGTGAGATGTAATCAGAGTGATTCAGAGTGGTTTGGTGTGAAATGGTTCAGATGTCTTTACAGTGGTGGTAACAGGAACCAGGCGTTTATATGTAAAATCAGAAAAAAGGCCAAAATAAAACAATCTAAAAAAGCCAAAGTAAAATATTTGAACTGCATAATTCAGTGTGTGAGATGTAATCAGAGTGATTCAGAGTGGTTTGGTGTGAAATGGTTCAGATGTCTTTACAGTGGTGGTAACAAGAACCAGGCGTTTATATGTAAAATCAGAAAAAAGGCCAAAATAAAACAATCTAAAAAAGCCAAAGTAAAATATTTGAACTGACCTACACATTTACATATATTTATCTAAAATACAATAACATTCTGAAATGTTTTAACAGCAATGTCATCACAATAGCACTGCAGTTAGTCTGTACAGGCAAAGAGGAAAACTCAGTGTGTAAAAAAATGTATTGTACCTTTAATCTGTCATTAAAAAACTATCATGTAGTAGCACAATATGACCACATGATGTCCTTCATGTTGCACAGTGGCCATCAAGAAAAAATAAAGGCAATCAACTCAAATATAGACTACTGATTGATATGCTTAATTCATTAAAATTGTATTGTAACGTATGATAAATGTTGATAAATGAGACTGTGCCATCTGACCCCAGTGTGTGTAAGGCTTGAGAAGTACGCCATAAATATATTTGATTAATAATTTTAGCTTTTAAAGGAATAGTTTGCCAAAAAAAAAAATACACGACTTTCCATTTTTACCTCAAACGTAGTAAATCAACCGAGATATGTTTGCTGTCCAAATTTTGCTTCTTTAGTTCAGAACTGGAACTGCTAGGCTAACGTTGCTAGCAAACACTAGAAGTCAATAGTCACCCAAATTGTTTCTGTAAATACATTCCCAAACCTCTCAACTGGCTCAAACTCGCTTGTTGTGCAGACAAGTCGATGTGGTTTAGAACACCTAATGACTCACTATGAACATAAAAATGAATTAAACTTCTCCATGTAGCTGAAATAAGGTGCAGCCATTTAGGACAAGTGGAATCACTTCTTTCCTGAGCACAGTTTGGTATCATCCCATGAAGACTACCAAAGACAAGGCTAAGGGAATTCACAACATAGAGACACTAAACTTCTCTCTTTTCTAATTTGTGGTTTGCATGTGTGTATCTGTAGGTGGTAACGTACCAGACTACCAGACTACCTGTAGATTTCTTTGTTCTATGCTTGTAAAATGGAAGCCAACAGCTTATTTCCGTAGGTTTATCTTCATTCGATATGCAACTTCTAAACCTCTTACAGTAAACAAGCCTTAGGTATTGCTGTGCTAATTCTACATACCTGTGTAGTGATCTTTGAAGGTGGAACAGTATGAGAACGATGAGGATGATAATGTTGTTCCAATTTTTAGTGTGTAAATAAGGTCTTTGCATTACATTTTACTAAATTTACGTAGCTTCTCGACTTGATATAAATATTATTACTGTCCAAAGTCAAGTCAAGTCAGGCTTTATTGTCATTTCAGCTCTATACAAGTACACAGTGAAACGAAACAACATTCCTCCAGGACCAACACAGGAACACAAGTGCGAGACAATACAATAAACATGGTGCAGACAATACAGTACAATAAATAAACACGAAAGACTTACAATAAATACAGAACAGAACATTAGCAGTATTCGGTACTGAGAGTATGTGGAGCTGGGCAGAAGAGGATGGAACATACTATGACATAGCAACTTAACAGATAGCCTAGCATATATGAGCATAGCAGTCACTGAGGTAGCAACCAGACCAGCAATGGAACACAGTATTTGGTTGATACAGTAATTCTGGCAGCTAACATTGTTAAAGTGAAGCAAAATGTGCAAAAATGCAAGTATTCAGATCTGCAGTCATATCAAATGAAGTATTTCAGTGAAATGCAGTAATTATAGAATGCAGTAATTATAGAAATGCAGTAATTATAGAAATTATAGAAATTATATTTATAATTATAGACATGCAGTAATTATAGAAAAAAATACAAGCATCTCTAAATCACAACTTTTCAGGTGATGGCAAAAACGCTCCTTACTCCTAATGCAAGTTAATGTAAAGAAATTTTATTTCAGGTGATTTTGGAGCGCTTCTATTGGTCCATTCGTCATGAAACTTTCACACAATGTAAATCGCCTTTCTCAGGAACACAGTTAAGAACAAACTTAGGAAGATACTGGTGAATGAGGCCCAGTGGGCCTATATAGATCCATGAGCACTCAAAGAACCTCTTTAATGCTTAAATGGTTCTTTGCATTGTCAAATGGTTCTTTTCTACACTTAAAAAAACATGGTTCTTCAAGGGTTCTTCAGTAAATCATGAGTTCTATACAGAACCATTTCATGCTTAAGTGATTCTTTGCATGATGAAATGGTCCTTCAGAACGATGGAGAATGTGTTGTATATGATCCTATATAGAACCTTTTTGAAAATGTTTCTAAAGGACCAAAAAGGGTTTTGCTGTTGTTACAACCTTGACATCATAACAATAGAAGAACCCTTTCTGGCTCATATAGAACCACGTACAACGCATTCTCCACCAATCTGAAGAACCATTTTGCCATGCAAAGAACCATTCAAGCAT